TGTCTCCCCCTCTCTCTGCTCCTCCCCCACTCGTTCTCTCTCTTCTCTCTCTCTCTCTCTCAAAAATGAATAAACATTTTAAAAACATATTAAAATATTTCCAGACAGTCATCCAACCAGTGCTCAGTCAACCCACCACTCCATGACGCCTGTGCTGAGGGATGCTGAGGACACTAAGGTGACCAAGACAGACTGTGCCCCACCCTCATGAAGCTGTCATGCCACAAGGGAGACAGAGAAGCTACAAGTCAGTGAAGCTCAGAACACACAGGGCTGGGGTGAGAAGTCACAGACAGAGGAGTCATGGTGGGGATGGGGGAGACAGAGGAGTCAGGGCAAGGTTGGGGGAGACAGACAGAGGGGTCAGGGCAGGATTGGGTGGCACAGGTCTCTGTAGGGGCCCAGAAGTGGTACCTGTTTCAACCTTGTCAACTCAGGCTGAGTCATCTGAGGGCAAAGTAGGGATTTTTCAGGGCAGGATAGGGAGAGTAGAGAGGGAGAATTCTGGGCAGAGGAATCCAAGTGCCAAGGCAGTGGAGCATGGTCGGGTGCTGTTACGGTGGAAGGATCTGGGGCCCTGCGCACTGATGAGGCTGTAGCCATCAGCAGGGGTCAGACCTGCTGGACCTTATGTGACTTGGTGGGGAGCTGGACCGTGTCCTAAGATGATGGGGAGCCCCAGAAGGGGTGTAGGCAGGGGAAGAAGATGGTTAAATTTGTGTTTCAGAGGGATTGTTCAGATTGTTGGAGAAGGTGAGACTACAGATGGAGAGACATAGAAGTAGCTTCTATAGGCTCCAGGTGACAGAGGACAGGGCCATGAGCATGGGGAGGAGGCATGGGCTGGAGAAAGATATGGAAGGACAAACGAATTCTTCCTTGGTTATGCGGTGGTTGTGTGGGGTAAGGTGGGGGTAGAGCCCAGTGTGGGGGTAGGTGGGAGTGCCATGTATTGGTTTGGGGACACAGATCAGGAGCAGGTTTGAGGCAGGAGACACGTTGGGGAACCGGGCACAATCCCTGGTTCTAGGGATTTCTTAGACTGGTGAGAGAGCAGATCCGGATAAACCAAAATCTTCAATGATCCCATTAGTATTCATTAATAATTATTTGTGATAATTTACTACTTGGGGTTGAGGATTGGGAGTGCTTCCTAGAGGCGGTGTCGTTTGAACTGGGTCTTGCAGGATGAGCTCACAGGTGGGGGAGGAGAGGAGGGCAGGGCAGAGAGAGCCTCACAAGCCAGGCTTGGCCATGTGAGATGGTGGGACAGAGCAGACATCTGTGACCGCTACACCCCCTGCTCCCTCTGCCATCCTCATCAATCAACTTTCTGTCCTCTACCCCCAGCCTGACCCAAACTCCAGAAAAAGCTGGCTCATGGTCACAAGTGTGCCTGAAATCTATGACCCTCTCCCAAATGAGATTTTTTGTTTAATTGAAGTAAAGGGGCACGTTGGCTCTTTCAGTCAGTAGAGCGTATGGCTCTTGATCTTGGGGTTGTGATTTCAAGCCCCACACTGGGTGTAAAGTTTATATGTATATATACATTTATACATATACATACATGTGTATATACATTTATATGTATGTGGATATATGTATATGTATATATGTATATGCATATATGTAAGTAAATAAATCAAGAAAATACTTATCTAAAAAATTAACCCTTTTAATGAAAACAGTTCATAACATTTACTACAATTTACTACATTCACAGAGGTGAGAAATGAACCACCTCTCACTAGTTCCAAAACATTTCCAAGTGAAAATCTTAGGTAAGCCTTCTTGGTTTAAATTTATTTTTTAATGTTCTTTTTTTAATGTTTATTTTTTGAGGGAGAGAGAGAGACAGAGCATGGGGGGTGGTGCAGAGAGAGAGGGAGACACAGAATCCGAAGCAAACTCCAGGCTCTGATCTGTTAGCCCAGAGCCTGATGCGGGGCTTGAACTCATGAACCAAGAGATCATGACCTGAGCTGAAGCTGGATGCTTACCCGACTGAGACACCCAGGTGCCACTTCTTGGTTTAAATCTAAATGCTAGTACTGCTGACAATGATAGCATTGCATAGCCTATGACCTTACCCTGTGAAGCTCTTTATGGGCATCTTATTCAAGTCCTCACTGCAAGCCTGTGAGGTTGGGTTTATCATGCCCAGTTTGTAGATGAGTTAAGTAAGGCCCAAAGAAGTGGAAATGAGTTGTTTGGGGCTCCACGGATGATCAGGGTGGAGCCTGGGCCTGGCCTTGTGTTGACTCTAGATTTCATGCTCTTAACCCCACTCTGGGCTGCCAAGCCCCGCCTTTTTTCTTTATGAGACATCAGCAAACTGTTGCTGATAATCCTGTGGTTTGAAAACTTCCTTGTAAGCCTAAAAGATTTCAAATGTTCAAAAGGAAATAAAAGTAAAACCGGTCTTTCAATAGGAGGGAGGCTTGACCTTCAGCTGTGTTTGCTTCTTTGGGACATTAACCAAAAGCTGGGTAACCAGTGTCACACAGTGAAGGGGAGAATGAGTAGAACAAG